CATCTGAATATTTGGGTTGAACTGTTCTGGAACGTTGTTGTAAATACAACTTAACCACTGATTTCTAGTCGTGTCCATTTTTGGAAGACCAAACAAAGTTTCGCTTTCACAACGAAACACAGCGTCACACACGGTGGCGAGTGAGCAGAGGCCGGGGGCTAGAGTGACGAGAGTGTAGCAACAACAATACTACAGCGAGGATAAAAGTTACGCCTTCTTTCTTTGATTGAACATTTGGGCGGCGTTATGCAAATCTTCCCACATAGTGTGGTAGATATGTTGGGGGCGTGTTAGAACGAGCCGTTTTAGGTAGGTGTGGTTAACTCTTAACTGTTATAAAGAATATCTCTTTGGATTTGAGACTTTAGTCTTTGCAACTTTACAGATCTTCTTTATGCACCAGGAGCTTGTAACACTCCAAAGAGAAAGGAAAAATTGAAATCGCATCATATGACCCCTTTAAGGCCGGGACACACCAAGCCGACTTCAAGGAACTAGCAGCGACGAAAGCCGATGGTGTTGTCACCTTGCGTCGGCAGCATCTGGACCAAAAGGCTGTGCTTGAACACACCGCTCAGACTACAGCCGACTGCAAACTAAGGGTGTGTTCACACTTGTAGTTTGGTTCTCTTGGTTTGTTTGGTCTGGACCAAAAAAAGAAAATGATAAATTTGGTCCTGGTCCACTTAGTGTTCACAATGGCATTTTTGACAGTGAACCTAAAGGCATAGTGATACGTTCACAACCTGACTGGTATTTCATGACGGAACTTACTGAACACCCCAAACAATAGGTGTGTTCGACTAAAAGTGGAGTTGCGCAGAGCGATCGGTTTATGAAATCAAAGTACCCATTCACCGATCACTCTGCTCAGTGCAGCTTTACGTATAATACACCTAATGCCGTCTGCTGGACTCGACGTGCTCATTGTTGAGTGTACATAAGATTTAATTTTTTCCACCTGCAAACTCACGAAGAGCTCATAAAAGGCACTTAACCTCCTCATTGTTGCTAATTTAGTTTTGGATACACCGCTCGTTCCTCGTCGTCAAATCATGTCGCTTATCATCGCATTTTGTCATTACATCCTGTTTTTGGTTCGTTTAGAAGTATTTGGTCTGTGTTGCATTCATATTTCATTCGAACCGCACCAGAGTTTGTCTGGAAGCGGACCGAGACCCATCTTTTTAGCGGTCTCGGTCCGCTTGTTTGGTGCGCACCAGGGTTCGGATGGCAGCATGCACACTTACTCAAACAAACCGCACTAACAGAGCAATCACACCAGTTTGCTTCAATCGAACCAAACATGACAAGTGTGAACACACCCTCACACATGCCCTCATTTACTTACTTGTTTTCATCACTTTCGCTTTAATTCTCGGGCACTTACTCGTTCGCTTAACTGAACATCCAATCAGACTTCTCACTCTCGCTTATGGCCCCAACGCTGATTCCACATGTTGACTTGGGCAAACTGCTGCAACGTGAGCCCGACGAGTGGAACACACCAAACCAACTACCCCGACAGCCTAAGTTAGTTAGCAAACCCCTTATAACTTGACCAAGGATAATTGGTTTATAGATTAATCCTGAATGTGCTGTTCATGTCTAAAATATTAGGGGAAAAAAAGAGAAAACTATTTCATTTATGATTTAAGCCCCGTCTTAGCAAAGAAACTGGGATTATTACAGTTACATCTCTCTTGTTTTGCTATTAGACCACAACATTCCCTTGGAGAGCTTGAGATTTATGTTGGCATTTGTAGGGCCCTATGGAATGCGTTTTATCTTTTTCCAAATTCCTTTTTTTTTTTTTTTATGGTTAAAATTTTTCTGGACTCCTTTTTAATGGTTCAAAATAATGTTTTTAATCAAAAAGTATGTCTAATTAATTGAAATAATTAAACATACAATTTATTAAAAGTTTAACAAAAAATACATGTTTAGGGCCCTATGAAATGTTTTATTTTTATGAAATGTTTTATTTTTTTTCACCTTGTTTTATTAAAATATTAATTTAATTTATCTGTGAATTAATGAAAATTAAACAAATATTATTTTTTGGCAAGTAAAGGGGATTTACTATTAAAATTAAAACATGAAAGAAATATTGTGTGATTATTTCTTAAAGGGGACATCAGATGCAAAATGCACTTTTATATGGTGTTTGAAAATATATACAACCACCCTATAATGATAAAAATCCACCCAGTTTTTTTTTTTTAAATACCAAAAAATAATAAGCACTTTTTCAGACCAAGCCGTTCACAGATTCTTGGCAAAGTGAAGTCATGTTGCATAGGCCGCTCCCACGACTGTAGATGAACACTGCCGTTTTAGCACAGACCCGCCCTGAGTGAGCTGTAAACAGTCCTCCATTGTTTCACCGCCGGAGCAGATGTAGACAAGAATGGCTCCTAAGTGATTGAGGTGTTCTGTTGTTGGATGTAATAATGAACATAGCAGTCGTCATTTACTCCCGACATCTGAGCCGCTGAAGACGCAGTGGATTACATTTGTTTTTGAAAGGAATGCGCCCCCAATCTACCTAAATGCGTTTATGTTTGCGCAAATCATTCGTGATCCTGCTTCATCTCCAGAAGAAGTGAGTATAAGTTTTTTTTTTTATTAATCTTTGCAAATCACCTTTCTTAATAATGTGCTGGTTAGCAAGTTTCATGCAAACCGCGGCTAAAGTTTACGGTCTCAGGAAGAGAGGGGTGGGGTGAGCAGAGCTCATTAGCATTTAAAGCGACAAATGGCTCGCTGCGGACAGAGCTGTTTTTGACAGGGTAAAAAGGGTGTTGTTTTACACTACCATTGAGAAATTTTAACCAAAGTATGTAATACACTTTTCATTAAGACCCTAAATAATCATACCAACTAGTGGAAAAACTTTTTTGTTTCTGGAAGAATACACGCTGAGAGGAATAACCCAGAATTTACCTCAGAAGAAGAACACAACGCGACGCGCAGCTTGATCCAGTGGTAAAGGTGTTACTGTTCAAGTCTCAGTGTTAAGATCAGTTTATTGATCTGAATATGTTTGAATATGTTTATTATACTGTGTTGTAAATAAAATAGAAATAATCAAAAACCCACATTATTTTACTCTCCTCGCACTCTTTCTTACCTGCCTCAGTCACATTCATATTGATGGCCATTATGGGAGGCCCTTTGTCTCTCAGGTGTGAATCACTAAATATTCATGGCCATTGTCACTCCCTCTCATATAATACACATACAGAAATTTAAAGGTATTCACGGCAGCCTGTTAAAATAAAATTTCGGTTTAACTTGAAGACACTGTGCCAGAAATATATTATTATTATTTAGTAGAATGTATGTGATACTAATACTACTGTTGAAAAATTAATAAAACTTTATTTTTTAAGAAATAATCACACAATATTTATTCCATGTATTAATTTGAATAGTAAATGCCCTTTATTTGCCAAAAAATAAAATGTGTTTAATTTTCATTAATTCAAAGATAAATTAAATCAATGTTTTATGCCTTCATTTGATAACCAGAAAATTACACAACACAACACAGAATTTCGGAGGGGTAAAAAAAAAAAAATCACAAGGCTATTGTAAGAATAAATAAAAATTGTTTGTATGCATTCAAATAATTAGATATGCTAAAACCATAGGCGGAGGGTGAACCAACTCCAGGGTAAGGCTAAAAGCAGCCAAATTGATTAACTACAAACATCACAAACCCATCTTTTTAGGCAAGAACCAGACATGGGTGTCATGTAGGCTAATAAAATATTTCTAATGGGACTGAATTTGTATTTAACATGATTACAATTTAATCAAAACATTAGAAATGAATAATAACATTTCATTTCCACGGTTATTCAAACAGCGAATAAATTATATACAGAAAGCGAGCGAAGAACTTTATCACCAACTTTGATCTATCGCGAGTTTAAGCGCTCTCAAAAAAACAGAACTATGGTTATAATCTCTGAAGCTGTCTACACTGTTAAATGAATCTCTTACTTACATTACACGTACATCTGTGCTTTGTTGTTTATGATGAGAGAATTCATGAGGATCTGAAATTCAGTCAGCGAGTGCGCACTCAACAAAACTGAGTTTCAGCGAGGACTCATATGAACGTCTCTGATTGGCCATTGCATTCCTAAGCTCAATAGAACCGTGTGTGATTGGTTATAATGCGCAACATTGTAAAAATGCTTTAGAAAAAGAAAAATGGGGCAAAATGATCAGATCTTAATTTAATGCCTCAAATCGACACTTTGCATTCATTTTAACTTTGTTAGCAACAGACATAATAGATTTAATTTATTTGTGCAGGGGCATTTTTGTCCAATTTAGTGGCATTTTTGTTCCAAGTCCCCATGGCCAGCCTTCCCCAGCCTTACACACGCTCCGCCTATGACTAAAACACAGAATTTGGTAACAATAAAACATGAAAATAAAAGATGAGGAAAAATGTAAACAT